CAATGGGAAGAGGCAGATCAAATGGGATTTCTAGCTTCATCTTTGAGCAATCTCCGCCCGATTTCCATCATGGGGGCACTCGTTCACACTCTCGCCAGCCATATAGAAAGGTTCCTCCCCCCCCCCCAGGCCTTTCCAGCATTTTGTCTTATTTGATCACTTGATTGTGGCCATTCTCGCTGGTATAAGGTCAAATCTCAGTAGTGTTTTTGTTTTTAAAGAGAGCACAAATTATCAGTACTGCTTTCATTTGGATATCCCTAGTGGTCAGAAGTGCTCTAGTGGTTGAGCATGTTTAAAAAAGTATTTGTCACTTGTACTTCAGCTGAGAAGTATTTCTTCATTTCAGTTGACCAGTTTTTGAGTTTTATTGGAGTGGTCTGATTTTTTTCCAGTTTATTTTAGGTATTAGCCTTCTGTCTGAGGAGTGACTGGCAACTTTTTCCCACTCTGTATCTTCACTTGTTCCCATTCCTGTGTAGAAGGCTTTTCATTTGAAATGATCCCACTTGTTGACTCTCAATGTCATTTTTTTTTTGTGCAATTTGGGTTCTATCCAGAAAGCCCTTGCTTACCCCTGCATCTATGTTACTTTTCTCATTGTTGAAACAAAGTACTCGAGACTCAAAGCTGAAGGAGGAACTTGTAGCTCACAGTTTGCAGGGCTTTTGGTACAGTCAGCTGGATCCCAGGTCAGGTGGCAAGACAAGGGCAAAATGGAGGAGAAGCAGCTCAGGATATGGCAGGGCAGGCAGCAGGCAGCAGAGCAGCAAAGCAGCCCACCTCTCCATTTTTTCCCTTCCAGGCACCCCTCCTTATGAGTGGTGCCCGCCACTCCCAGGTTGGGCCTTCCCACCACACACACCTAGAGCTGTGCTAAAGCAATCAACGGACTAATTCAGTAATTATGTACCTGTAATCCCAGCACGCACACTCTTGATCCAGCCACCTCCACAAAGCCCGCCTATGACTACATGAGGCTTTAGGGGGACATCAGACACAAGCATTACGACCTATGACTTTAAGAGTTTGTTGCATTGTCCTTTCAGCCCATTAAGTATTTCTGCTTCAATATTTAGATCTTTGGTCCCATTTTGATTTTAGTTGAGTACATGGTGAGAGACATGGGTCTAGAGCTAGTCTTCTACATGTGGATAACCAGTTCTCCTGGAACCATTTATTAAAGATGCTATTTTTTTCTCCAGAGTATGTTTCAGCCCTTTGGTCAAAGATCTGATAGCTGAATGTATCTGAGGTTGCCTCTTCTAAATTGAACTTAAATATCATTTTATTCTGTTTGTAAATCTAATAGTAAAAATATGAAGAAGTTCTTTCACTCAGATCAGTGGTGACTTGACACACGAAGAATCGCTCAAGTCCTCAGCATGGTGCCCTTGGGGGACTCCCGAGCCCCTTGTGTTTAAGGCAGTGGCGCTGAAGGCAAAAGAAGGGTCTGTGATCTTGCCACAGAAGGATACTTGACACCGCTTATGCGCTTAATCAGTCACCTTTCCAGACAAACACAAAAGCCCAGGAGCGCTGACTTAGGGGTCCAATCCATAGACCCTTTCCCAGAGCACTTCAGTTCAGCATGAGCTTGACCCATCAGCTGCATATCACGGGGCTTTACATTCTCTGTTCATTTTATAGAGAAACATTACTCGCGTGGAGTTCTATACGGCCCAGCTTGCTCCAGAACTTACAGGTTTGCTACAAGAAGACAGTGAGGGACCGGAAACACCTTGGTCAAAGATGGTGCTGGGCATGGCGCAGATGTAGCCTAGGCTGTTCTTGCCACACCCAGGGCCACCAGGATCTCAGGACTGAGGAGAGGTGGGAGTTGTGAAGCTGGGAGAGCCTGCTGGAGCTGAGGAAGACATGTGCCTCATATGCATATTCAGCCTGTGGCTGCTCTGTGGTGTCTGGTGTGTGTTTATCTCCACAGTCCAGTGTCATGAGAAGTGTTATTTAACCAAAGAAGAGACTTCGGGGGCCCCTTGGCTGGGCTGTGTGTAAGGGAGATAGACGGAGGCCCTGCGTTCGAGAACTGGCTCCTGCCCTTGCCCCCAGCAGGCTGCTGTGGGGTCACAGCCGGAGCTGCTGAATCCACAGAGCATGGAGGAGCCTGTGGAGAGCGGAGAGGAAGGCCATGCAGGCGCTGTTGATGCAGAGCCCATGCGCTAACCCAGGTCAGGCTTCTGTAGAGCCCGAGCCCTCCCTGGGCAGCTACTGCTCTTGCTTCGGGCTCCTGTCCAGCCACTGTGTGCATCCCTACCGCCTGCTGTGTGTATGCCCTGTAGTAAAATCCACTCAGCGTGACTCCCATGGTGTCCCAGGGCCTTTTTGACACTGTTCTCATGAACTGATTTCATTCCCACCTCTTATTATCCTGCTTCACGCCAGCAGCCCCACCGGGGTGGGCAGGTGATGGTGACTGTGTGTCCCTCGGGCAGCCGGGGCCTCAGTCTGTCTCACTAGCTGACTCTAGACCAGGCACTTTGGAAAGGTAGGATACACCAGCTGGGCCGTGCTCCCCTGGAAATGGAGCGCTTTGGTTTAGTTTGGGAGTCTGCTTTTCTGCTCAAAGCATGTTGGTAATGCAGCGTGCTCATCCTGGGAGCTGGTGCTGCACGTGGCAGGCCTTTCATCCAGACTCTCACCTCTCTCCCCACCCCCTCTTCCCTCCTGCTCATCCCCTGCTCCATCTCCAGAGTTTATTTTCCAGTTTCCTATCATCTGTCCTTTAAATTTTATTCATTTATTATATTTTAGGCCTCTCATAGAAGAAAAAAAAAACATTGTATTTAACTTTCTGAACCTAGTTATTTCACTTAGCAGGATGGTCTGGCGTTCCATCCGTTTTATTGCAAATCAAATGATTTTGTTCTTTATGACTAATATTCCTTTGTATACAAATGACATCTTTTTCTTTTTAAAAAATCGTTTATTTGGTACAGGGTCTGACTACGCAGCTTGGGCTCCTAGTGCTCCTCCAGTCCCAGCGCCCACCCCCAGCACTGGGATTCCAGGCCTGCACCCCCACATCTGGTTTTGGTCGTCAGCATGGCTCACCGCCCCTGGGGCCTGGGGCCTGCACAGTATGCAGTACTGGGAATTGAACCTGGGTCTTTGCGCTCGCCGGGCAGGTGTTTAGACCGCTGAGTTAGCTCCCCAGTCCCCAAATAACATTTTCTTCTTCGGTTCACCGGTTGCCAGTTATCTAGGGTTTCCAACACTTAGCTCTGGTGACCTGTACCACTGTGTATGTGGATGTACGTGGAGCAGTATAGTACAGTGTCTTGAATTTTTCTGGAATGTATCCAGGAGTGGCACGGCAGGGTCAAATGGTATTTCTCGTCTTTGATTTTTGAGGGCTCCCATAATGATTTTTCTTTTGCTAAATGAAAAGTTGAGTGGATCCTGCATTGCCTCGATAATGGCCTCTCACACTGCACGTGTACGCTGTTCTGTGGTCTCCGCATTTAAATCCCTTCATGTGGTCATAGTAGTATACACCTAGTCCCAGTGTCCTGCTGCCCTTGCAGTTTATTTCACGTGACGCTAGGGATCCTTGGAAAGCAGGGCCCTCACCTCATTTTGCAGATATGGGTGCTTATGGCAGTTAATTATTCGCCTAAGATTAAATATGGGGTGGATCTTGAACTCCCACCTCCTCCTGGGACAAAACTCCCAGATTAGGACATGCTACAAACATAAGTATGCTATTAACTATATCTTAATAAAGAGATGACTGTTAATCTTTTTTTTTTTTTAAGAAAAATTAGTCGTGGAGCAGTACCCTCCGCAGTAGTCTAAGGGAAGCCTGCCCTGTGGTACACACCAATGCCAGGCTGAGTGTGTGCAGGGTGGGGGTGAGGGTGTGGGCGGCAGCTGCCGGCCCCCTGCGGCAGGGCCTCAGGGACCATGAAGGTATAATTCCAGCTCCCAGGGTTGCTACTAGGTGGAAAGTCATGCACCGGCTGCAAAATCGTTAAACATCTGCTCGGGTCTCCCCTGGGGCCCTGAAGGAACCTGTTTTCCAGAAAGTCCTGCAGGGAGCGGCTGGCCTTGTTTTCCCGGTGTCCATCTGAACTTCCTGGTTCTATACAAGGACGCACCACGCGGTCCCCCCAAGCAGGGATGCACTTCTCTGCGTGGATCCAGTCAGAGCCTGGCCCTCACTGCACCTCAGTTGACTCCACATTCCTGGGTGGTGGCTCCGAGTAGGAGATGCCTTTTAACTCTTGCCTGGGTCTATGTCAGATTTTGAAAACGCACCAAATGAACATGTACAGAAAAACCTAACTTTGCACATCACTTCAGGGTTTTCCTATAACTGATTACAAGAGAGGGATTTCCCGGGATAAGGTTTGTTGTAGTTGTTGATTGCAGTCCTGGAGGCTGGACTTACAGCCCCTGCTAGGAGCTGCGCCCCAGCACCGCGCCGGCTCCTTCTTCAAGGCTTTGATACCGGCCTGGCTACGCAGCTGCAGCTGCGCCCCTGCCCACGCTGAGCTCCGCCTCTCCTCTTCTCGCTCCAGCCTCCAGCGTCGTCGCTGAGGGCGCAGGCGTTAAGACTTCTTGAGTCGAGTGAATTTTAAGATTCATTCATAAAAATAGTGCACACGTTGCTTGAACTAAAAAATAAAAGAAACTGTATTTGTGATTCCGAGTAAGAATTAGCAGTTTTAACATACTGCAGTGTTTTAGCGGTGGTTACTAAAGAGCTGCCTGTGGTTCCCTGGTAAATATTAAGGTGCATTGTGAGAAATTGTGATCTTTTTGAAATGGGCATCCTCACAAAGCAGGGAAATATTTTCCTTCCTTTGCTTTCAACTGTAGTCTCATTAACCTAATGATGTACCTTATCTCAGGAAACAAACACACTTAGAAGCATACCGCGTATCACCGTTTGTAAGCACATACACACCTCTTTTTTCTAAGTCTGAATTTTGTATTTTTTACTGAAAGAATAATTTTGTTGTTTGCTTCCCCTCCAGATATTGTCAAAAAAATCTTAAAGAAGAAGTTTGAGCCCTCAGCTGATTATGACAAGGTAATTTTTGTTGGTGTTTGTTATTAAAAGTAATAAAGAGAACAAAAAATCGGCAGGCTGGGAAATAAATCTTTTAATCAATGGTTACTTAAACTGTAACTTTAATAGACTTCTTTGATAAAGGACTTTTGTGGACTGTTGGGACACCTTATGGATTCCGTGCAAAGACAATGGAGCTTTCAAAAGGAACCCTGAAGACAATCTTGTGTGTTACTTAAAAATTAATCTTCCTGTACTTCATTGGCTAAGGGAAGAAGCCTTGAGTTCAGTTGTTCCAGAAAGCCCTGGGACCAGAGTGAGAGGTGCTGGAAAGCGGCTTCCTGCTGAGCAGTGTTTCCTTCTGCTGGCTTCAAGCTCCAGGCAGCAACTGGGAGGGAGCTGGGAGAGGGGACCGCCCCAGCTCCTGCCAGGGACAGCACCTGAGGGGTCAGAGAGGGGAAGAGGAAGGAAGCAGCTCCACCGGGGACCTGCGGAGGAACTTGGGGAAAAGTAGCTCCAACCGAAGCCCTTCCGGGAGGCGAAGACTTGGGGCTTAATCAGAGGTCAGAGCGGGTGGGAAGCGGCTCCCCCTCCAGCCCAGCCCCAGGTTGGGTTCCTTTGTGAGCCAAGGGTTTCAGGAGAGAAGCGAGCAGGGAGGAGGACAAGGGAGCTGGGCCCGCTGGCAGAGGGAGCGACCTGTGGCCATCCAGAAGCTGTCCAGGAGCCCTCGTGCCTCTGCTGCAGGTGCTGCCCGTCCACTGCACTGACCGCCACGCCTGGCCAGAAGGATGTCCTTTTGGTGCTGATATGGGGTTCGTGCAGGCTGCCCAGGAAACACAAGAGAAGAACTGCTGTACTGCATGCAGAATAAGAATGAACTGTCTGTTGTGTCCTCGCCTCTCGGAGCACTGCTCTTTCCTTTGGGTGCCTGACAGTGGGTATGCAGGGAGAGCCCGGTGCTCCTGATGAGGGCAGGCAGCTTTTGCACATGACAGTGACCTCAGACACTGTCGTTAGACACTATACTGGCAAACAGCCTCATTGTATCCTCAATTTGCAACAAAATGACACTCAAGAGAAAAGCGAATATAGAAGCCAAAGAGCAAAGCCCATCTGAGAGCCACGACCAGCCAGCAGCAGGGAAGGCTGAGGTGAGGCTGGTGAGAGCTCACGGCTTTCCCCAGGACTGGGCAGCATTTTCATTCTCCCATGCTCCTGGGTTCATGTGAGTCTTCCCAATAGCTGCTTGTGTTGGTCTGAATCACTAGGCAGAATCAAAACACTGTTGCCCTTATATCTGTCTTTAAAAGTAGCTCACTGTCAGCAGTTAGTGACCTGAATACCTGAGGTATTCAAGGGAATGAGTGGGGTTTGGGGACAGCACTCCTGGTGAGCTTAGGTATGGAAGGGAGACATTCTGAGACCCTGGGAGCTGTGAGGATTCTGGCAAGCACAAGGTGGGACTGGGCCGCTGTTGTCCCTGGCAGGGTTCTTAGCTGGACAGCTCTTTGGTGCTTGGCATGGAGCTCCTGTGTACCAGGCATCTCGGCTGAAAACCACTGGGGTGCAGGTGAAGTGCAGAAAGGAGGTAGAAGGGAACCAGCGCGAATGAGCTAAAGAAAGTGTCACCCGAGGAGAAGGGATTTAGTTGGGCAAAAGTAGAGCTGTTGATGGGGTTTGGTCTGAGAAATTCGGAGTGTGTTAGATTGGGTCCCCCTCCAACCCAGTGCCTGGTACAAGGGCTGAAGGGAAAACTCTCAACTGGGGAACTGTGGCTGGGAAGTGAGGAAGGGCGGGGCAGCCTATTCAGGGTACCAGTGTGCCAGCAGCCCCGGAAGGGACAGCTGTGTCATGCAGACCAGCCATGAGAAACTGCCAGGCACTGGCTTCACCTTAGCTCACAGGAAGGGTGAGAGAGCACACTAGGACCGCAAAAGCACAGATTAGGGCTGCTTGGGAGCTGGGGACAGTGCTCATTCTCATTCCCGAGTACTCCCCGGGGACCTAGAGGACAGTGTCTCAGGGATCTTGGCTGGTGTGTTGGAGGCAGCACAAGTGTGCGCTGTGGGTCTCAGGGCCTGGGCAACAATGCCAGTGTCTTTGCAGTCGCCTGCACCCACCCCCAGCACAGTCCCACAGGTAAGGTGTCTCTAGGGAGTGTCCTGGGCCGGAGTTGTCCCCGCTTCCCTTGCCCTGGCTTCTCATCCAGTTTGGCTTGAGCCAGAATTGTGGAAAGAATTAAGTTCATGAACCAAGGTACCACTGTGCTTTGAAGTCCTTGACCCTTTCTCTTCCCTGAATTTTTCTTTTGAGGCTTTCTCTCCTTTGCTTAATACAGTGTTTTCTATTAATTGATACTGCTGGAGCTCCCATGAGGAGCAGCACACAGCAGGGCCATCACCTGCTGCAGCACAGCCCCTCTCCTAGGAGCACACCATGGGTAGAGGAGAGTCCAAGCCTAAGGCGTGCCAACACCTTATGGGCTGAACTGTGTCCAGAACTCTTATGTCAGAGTCCTCACCCTCATAGCAATGAATGCCGCTGGATTTGGACGCAGGACTTTAGGAGATGCAGGTTGTGGATGAGGCCCTTAGAGGGGGCCATACTCCAGCACGACTGCTGTCTGTCTCAGCAGGGGAAATGCGGGCCCAGAGAATTACACAGGAGAGACCCCAGGAGGAGACAGTGAGAAGGTGGCTGCTGACAGCCAAGGAGGTTGGCTGGCCCAACCCAGCCCACCAGCTGCAGATGTCGAAGCCCCCAGACTCAGGTACCTGACTGCGGCCGCCTGAGCAAGCTGAGATGCAGGATGGAAAGGAACTGCACCAGACATGCAGTTCTGATAAAGGCCAGGAACAGCAGAGGAGGGAACGTGGCCTTGCCCTCGGGGGATTCCACCATGGTCCAGCATTTCACCTACACCTAAAAGCAAGTAGAGCCATTGAGAAGTGAAGCCTTACTTCTGCCTGAAAATCTTTGCTCAAACTGCCGTGCTGCCTACCTGCATCTGAGAGGGTCTCCCCAGGCCATTTCATCTTCTGCGCAGCAGGAAGAGCCACCCTTGCTGCTCTGTGCATGCAGGCCTTGGTTAGAGCCTTGTGTCCCTCCTGGTCCTTACAAGGTCCCACTCAGAGGAGCAAGCACTGCTGCTACAGTAGATGTGGAAAGCCCGATGCTCAGAGGAGCTGAGTTCTTACCTGAGGTCACCCAGTAGCCACACAAAAAAGCTGGGATTTGTACCCAGACCAAGCTAATTCCAAGCTGACCAACACCCACAACAAATATGAGACGTTCCAGCCCACCGGGCATAGTCCCAAAGGGAGTAATTTGGAAGGAACAGCTTTCACCTGAGCATCTTCAGCTGTCAGCAAAGAGTATTACTGCCTCCGAGGGATAAAATTTACGTATTAGGCCCCAAAATAGCCTAGAGAATAATTATCTCTGGGCAGCAACGGTCAGTCCCAAGTTGGCCTCTACTGCGGTGTGAATAACCCTTCAGCTTGCTAGGGGCGGAATACTGAGCGTGGAGCTTCACAGAATGGTCTGTTCAGGCATGTTCATCTCCAGTCTGTGATTTCAGAGAACCTGAGGCACATTCCAGAGTCAGGACAATGGAACCGTGGCTGGAGAGGCCAGACCAAGGAGGGACCAAGGCTAGGCACCAGTGACCCATGGAGAGCAGCCAGATGAAGTTACAGGGACCTGAGAAATGACTCAAACAGTCCTACTTTTCTCGAGGGGGAAGCAGCAGTACCCTTAGCTTAGCACATGTTGGCTTCCAGGCGTGCTTCCACGGACCTGGCACATGGTAACTCATTTAGGCCTTGCAGGGAGATGCTGTCCCCACCAGAGGTGTTGAAGCACATATCACCAGGGCAGCTGGGTCTCCACCAGGGCACTGCCCACTGGGTGAAAAGCTGTGGGCTCAAGATCCAACAGTCAGCCATGCCACCCCAGCCATGCTACAGAGTATGGGGTGAGCCACTTCCCAGGGACCCTGCATTCTGGCTCACCATTAGAATGGTCAGGAAGAACAGGGGCTTGAAGCTGGGGTTCGGCCATAGAGAACCACATGAAGACATTGGCATTAAGTATATGGGGAATCTATGCAAGACTCATAAGCACAGGACCAACACCATCTGGTCTGATTGTAGCGCGATGCTGGAAGGTGTTGCCTTTGACTTTTGGGCCACAGGCAACCCCTGGCTCTCTGTTATATGTGGATCACATGGTTATTGCATGAAACATTTGTAACTTTCCCTGCAATTTTCCTTGCCATACCTGACCAGTGTATTAGGAACTGTTCAAATATCAAATGCAAATTGTAGAACCTGGCTCTGCCCCAAATACTGCTTCCCAAATGCACACTTAAGGGTTGTGTCCCTTTCCTGTGTCCATCTCTCTGTTCCCTGATTCTCTGTGTGGGGTGGCAATGCTCTAAGTTGTGGTCTCTCACTCACGTGGATTTTTCTGTTTTCTTGGTGCACGCTGCTTCTGCTACATGCAAATTCCTCAACTGCCTTGGCTCCCACAGCCAGAAAATGTAGTCCTGGCCCTGAAGGTAATGCCCGTGTCTGCTATCTGTCCTTTGTCTTCAACCACCTAACTACTTCACCTTTGTCCGAACATCCCTGACATTTTCTTCTTGTGTTGAGTTTTAAATTTTCCATGTCATTCTTGCTTCTGCCACTTTGTTTAAGCCTCCCTTGGCCTTATCTTCAACATAATCTATAAAATGCTGTAAGATCTTGATGAATGAGAAAGTAACTGCGCACTACAGGGCCTCAGGAAGACTTTCACCTTGAAGCCAGCTCTTAAAATGATGCATTTTTGTTTCTGAGTCCAAGTGATGTGCAGAAGGCAACGTTGGGAGGACTGTGGATCTGATGTAAAGTTGGTGCTTGGTGGCCCGCAGCCTTTCCTGTACCCCTTCTCTACTGGTTTTGGGTTCAGTGACTCCTGGAGTTTACAAAGGAGGGATTAAAATTACTATTTCTTTTTTATTATTTTTTTTTCTGTATTTTAGGGAAGGGTCTACAGGGTATTCAGGGCCTCACTACTAGATCAGACTCATAGTGATCCACCTGTTTACAGCCTCCCAAGAGCTGGGATTATAGGCGCACTCCACCATGCCCAGTCTAAAATTATTATTTCTAAGTTGTTTAGAAGTGGTAAATAATTTGGAATCATTTAGTGAGCAATGATAGGAAATATGGAGTCATGTAAGTTTGGAGAGTCTGGGTGGTTCCTAGTTAAGCCCTCTAATTATTCCTCAGAGAAGAGGTAAAATCAGCATAGAAGGGTCTTCATGCACGGGGAAGGGTCTTACGTAGACACATGCAGCAAATTCAGCACCTTTCTCCTCACGTTAGCATTTCAATCTTCATATCGAAGTAGATAATCTTCAGGCATCAGGCACCTGGCCTTACTCTTGAGCTTTTGCCCCTAGAAGTCTTCAGTGTCCATCCAGAGCTCACTGTGCACGGGGCACTTGGCTAGCTGTTTCCGCCTTCAGTCATGCAGTTCTCTGCCCCCTACAATATACTGATGGGGTTAATGCTAAGGGACACTGACCAGGAAGGGGACCCTGCAGCCCCTGCTGGGCTGCAACTGATTTGCATTTCAGAGCTGCCTTCAAGGCAAATCCCCGGGAAGGCTGCAGGACCCAAGTCCTTATCTGCTGGCTTCCCAGCAGACCAACCAAGGGGCACAATCCGAGGCAGGGAAGGGGACTTTATTCTAAGGCCAGTTAAAGTAGAAGGTGAGTGACTGTCACGACAACGTCCATCTTGCTGGGAGGCTGACTTGGGGCTGGCTCATACAGGAGTTTGTGAGTGTTCAAATGCTGATGGGCACCTTCTTATAACAGGCGATAGGTCATAACAGGTGATAGGTCATCACAGGCGCCTCCCCACAACAGGTGGGCTGGATGACACGCGTCTCAGCTTGGTCGCCTGGTCTCAAGACACCGTCAGAGCACAGAGCAAAGATCATTCTTTGCTAGAGTTACTTTTGTGACTGGCTCGCTTGCCTGTACGCAGTTCCTAACCCGTCACAGAAGGCACAGGCTGGAGAGAGCAGCCGCCCCAGCCACTCTCTTGCTCACCCCAGGCTCATGGTAATGAAAGCAAATAGACTTCACTGGATCACTGGAGAACACAGGGTGAGGGGAGGGTCAGGAGAGAGTCAGACACAAGAGCTTGCCTCAATGCTGGACCACAGGACCAAGACTTCTTGTGTCCTATTGCCTCTCCCCCGATGTCGGCATCCAGTGCTGCGCAGCTTGTCCATTAGTTGCCGACTGCCAACGTGTGCTTTTCTTTAGGTTTTTAGAAATGTGAGCAACAGCATCCAGGGGAGGAATAAGGTTTCGTTCCATTATCCAGTTGCATTCATTTTCATTTATCTCAAAATAAAGCCAGCAGTGATGAGGAAGCTCTGTTTGGGTCACATGATGGCTTCTAGAAGTGATGCTGGCCACTCCGTGTCCCTGTTGGTGATTAGGCCCTGGACAAGCCATGAGCGGTGGCATCCATTCCTTTGTCAGGGCCATACCACAGCATGGGAAGTGCCAGTTATTGTTTGTACTGTGCCTAGGACTCAGTTAGGCACTCTCTAATGACACATCATCTTGAATTTTCATAATGACCCAACAAGACCCATACTATTATTCCCAGTGTATAGATGCAAAAAATAAGTGGTCTGTGTTTCACTTCCTGACTCAGAAGGTCTGAGTGTTTATTCTAAATGTATATACATTCCAGCTTCTTTGGTATCTATGGGATCCTCCGCAATTGAACCAACTCAAATTGCTTCAGGTCTTTCGTCACTTCTACTTGCCCTGTCATTCTGGTGTAAAGTCCCCTGTATAGTGATCATTCACTGTGCTAGTGTTCATATCCAGATGCATGAAACTATTTGAAAATGTAAACTGTCTTTGGGGCTGAAAGTATACCATTTGTGGCTTGACCTTATAGCTGGAAATTGAAAGGAAGCTAGTACTCACTTGGTCCAGTATTCGGATAACTCAGTTCTCTGCTGCCTCTGTTTCAGGTAGGAGCTTTGTAGTGGAAGAGTGTACCTGCACCTTCATTGAGCTGGAGATGACAACTAGGTTAAAATGATGCAGTGCGCGTGCTGTGGAATGTCCTGCTTCCTGTGTGGTGTGACAGTGTGTGCTGTTGCTTTTGTTCTCATTGCAGATCACCTTCTATGAGATCGGCGTCATCATCTGCGCTGTTCTGGGGCTGCTGTTCATCGTGCTGATGCCAGTGGTGGGGTATTTCTTCTGTGTGTGCCGCTGCTGCAACAAGTGCGGGGGAGAAATGCACCAGCGACAGAAGGAAAGCGGCCCCTTCCGGAGGAAATACTTCGCCGTGTCCCTGTTGGTGATTAGTGTGCTTATAAGGCAAGTAGACGCCTGAACAGTGGCTGAGCCTGGATTAGGGCCGCTCTCTCCTGTGTTTGTTTAAAACCCATGAGTTTGAAACAAAACAATACAGATGAACAGAAAATAGAGAAAATAGTGCTTGTCCGGGAGGAATGGGAAACTGTCTCTATCACCACGAGTCAGCCTAGTGAGGAAGCTGCCCTAACTTCCCCTTGAGCCGGTTCTCTGGTATTTTCCCCATGTTGCCGTTCTGAGGGCTCTTGGACTGCGGAAAGCATTTGTGTCCTCTGAGACCGGGCTCTGGAGGCAGACGGCATGCACGAAGACAGAGCCCACATTTGCTAGTCTGATCCAAAGTGATCCTGATGGATGGGTACAGTTCCTGTATTTGAAAGTCTGACAGTATTGTAGAATATAGTGAACTTTCTAGTAATACCTAAATCCATTTTCTTTGTTTTTTGTTTGTTTGTTTGTTTATTTTTGGTTTTTTTGTTTGTTTGTTTGTTTTTTTGGGGGGAAGGGTCTACAGAGTGTTCAGGGTCTCACTACTAGATTGGACTTGTAGCGATCTGCCTATTTACAGCCTCCCAAGTGCTGGGATTACAGGTGCACACCACCACACCCAGTCTCAGTTGCCATCTCAGCGCGCCCTGGGGACAGGGCTGGCATGGCAGGCCCAGGGATCAAACCCCCAGGGTCCTGCACTTGCTTGCAGGTGCTTTAATCTGCTGAGCTATTTGGCTGACCCTTCTTAAATTTTCTGTTTATCTACTACCATTTTTTGAAGTCCGGAACAGAGCTCATAATGTAGGATGTCTCTTCTATTGTTCCTGCTGCCATCAGAAGTTGTCCAATTGACAGATCACAAATAGATTGCTTTTAACATGAGGCTGGTTTGTTGAGTCCAGATTGACTCCCCAGCTGAGGGACGTGTGTCAAGATACTGGGCCCTGCTGGTGACTTTTGGTTGTTCTCCTACATGTCCTCATTTACTCAACTGATGTCTCATACACCAGCAGAAAGAAATGCGGCCTGTGGATATGGGCACCAGGGCTGGTGGCGTCTGTCTTGAGTCACTCTAAACACTATTCCCTTGGGAGCTGTAAGAGCTGCTATATTCTCTGATCTATCCGGAACCACTCCAGATGTGTTGATGGAAATGGTCCTCCATGGAAACAACTGAAAGGAGCAGGTTGCAGATGAGTCTTAAACACTGTTACTGTGCTAAAAATAGAAAGGGAAGGAGATGCAAACACTTGGCTGTGTGCGCAAACAGTGTATGAAAGGACTAGCAGTGGCTGTCTCCGGAAAGGAAATTGTGGGTTGTGGGCTGGGAGGAAGGAGCTTGCTGCTGTGGCTGGGCTGCTGGCACTTCAGAATTAGTGTAGCAATGGGGCTGG